GTGTGTAAATAATCATTGCTGCCAAATAAAAGGTTGAAAATAGCTTTAAAATAAGCAGACTTAATTTTCAGAGTGGGATAAAAAGAGTAGAATTGTTTTGGTTTTGCACACAGCAGTTCTGGTCCAAACATCCGGACCTAAATATCCCTGTGAACCCCCTCCCCCCCCCCCCCGCCCCCAGTCTTCTCTAATAAAGTGAATTTCACATGTGAATGGAAACTTTTGGGAATCTCTAAATAAAATTAATAAACTTATCCATGTCGGATGATTTGTGTTTAAATATGTGAAATTTCTCAGATTAACAATTCATGGCTCAATATGGTGCATATTAGATCCTAGGTGGATATGCTGCATATAAGACTGTATTTAGAAATTATTCCATGGATGTGCATGAGAGAAAGTTTTATCAGATATACCTGGTCTAAATGGTCAAATTTTACACCCAATGGTCACCTCTTGCAGCCCATGGTTAAAGTAAAAGTTAACTTTGTAAAGAAAATTTACTTGCATTTTTTTTTGGTTCCGATGATTTAATGTCTTTTTGAGAAAAGTCTTTATGATTAAATGGCAGATCAAGGCTTGGTCTTTATGTGAACTTTCTTACTTAATGTTTTTCAAAATTATCTTTTTTTAAAAAGATTGTTTGTTTTTTCTGTCATAACATTTAATTTTAATTAACCAATTGAGAAATTCTAGTGTAAAAATTCAGTTACTTTTAGTTGTAAAACCTTTTATTTTATTTTGTTCATTGGTTCATTAATAGTGTTTAATGTTTAATTGTAGGCTTTCAAAACAAAAAAAATATTTTTTCTCTCGTTTCTTTTTAAAAAAATCTATCAACAACAGAGTTTTTAACCACTCTTAATTTCCATAAACATTATTTTATACTTAGTGTCAGAAAACTCAAATGTAATTATTCACTTAAATGATCTTCGCCAAAAGTCTGAAGTAATTTTCTTTCTCCAATTTCGATAGGTATTAATTGAAAATCCATAGTTGTAGTTATTACCTGTGTTCTTTTATTTTAACTATCTCCTTTTCTTTAAAAATTACATTTTGTTTTTAAAAAGATTTTTATTTTAAATACTTAAACCATGAGATTGCCCTTTTGCTGGCCAACTTGCCAGTTAAATATTCCTCTTTCTTTAACAAGGAGCTTATGTTCAGTCATTGTTGGGCCTCTGAAGAATCTATCATTTCCCAACATTTCTACATTGTTATTGAAAGCTATCAGCAATAAGATTTGTCCAGTCAATAAGATTATGTTTTTCTATGTCACTACTAAAAGTATTGAATCTGTGCAATAATTATTGTACATGTAGTTAACTCACACCTTGTGTTGTCTTGGCTTTTGGCAATCATTGTAGACCAGGTGGACATATGCATTTCTTTTCTTTCAGGCAGGTGGCAACTAACTCATTGTTTCCTCAGTGTCATATAATACTTATTCCATACCATAAAATTCTTTTTCTGTTTGTTGGAAATACTGCCAAAAATTACTAGGTTCAATGGATCAAATTTTCTTATTAGCCGTATTTAAATGCAACAACAACCCCCCCCCCCTCCAAAAACCCTAAGTGGATCCACTATTTTCTCTTAATATGCCAACCACATTGTACCCACATGACCACACTCGTGTAGTTATGATGCATGACACTTGGCAACCCCACTACTAACTGAAAATCCACATTTCCATTGAGGTTGAATAATGCCAGCACCCTTTCCAAACAATATTATAAATTAGTCATTTATCAATCATTATTTCACTCAAGTTTCTTGCATCATCTATGAAGTAGAAGTGAATAATACAATATATTTTAACAATTGAAATTGAGTACTGTAATTTATCATATATTTTTGCCCTGCTAATTTTTATCCACTCTCTGAGCCTCACCTAGCTCATTTGAAAGAATCCAAGTTGTCTGTATATTTTCCAGACAGCAATCCTTTTACTTTCAATGGATGGCTCCTTATACAGTATACTGATCATGTCTTTCTCATATTTTGTTGTTGAATTATGAGGGTTTATTATTATTGTGTTATACAATTAACTTTTTACTACAATTCCTTTTTAAGTTTATATTTGTTCAGTTTCATTTCATCCATTTTTTAAAACATTTTTAAAAAAATGTTTCTGTTGCCTCTGAGATAGTCATCATTCCAGGTTGTTCTGTGCATTTGTGTGGGACAATGAGATGGTCTCATTTGTCTCTGCTGTGCAGCTCAAGACTATGGCTTCCTGGTGTAAGCCATGCGCATCTCATTAATATCATTGCTCTAACCCTACTGATAGAATATAAGCTTTTAAAAGCTGATACAACGTGCTTCCAGTCTTCTTGGCCTTATATTTCAACAACAGCAAAAAGCTGGCCAGAATTATCCATCCTAAACTTTATTTTATCCAATGATGAATTGGACTGTTTAAACTTTGATTTATGTCATTTATAAATGCCATATAGTCTCTTTGCTAATGAATGTATGCTCCATCTCTCAACTATTTTATTTTAATACTTTTAAGCAAATATAATAATGTACGGTATAATGTATGGTTGAAGTTCATGTTCATGATATATAATATATACATTTTTGTTGCTAGTTGGTTTTTTTAACAGTAAGATTTCCAGTTCATAAAGAAAAAAAAAAATTAATTTGCTTTTAATTTTGTTATAGCTTGAAAATATAATTTCTTTCTTTTTCTTACCTGTGCACTAGCTGCGAACTCACGTATACCATACTCTCCAGCTGAAAATGCATTCCAGTTAACATAGCAACAACTTGCTTGTGCTTTTCTTGTCACTCATTTCCAAAGGTGGGAAAGAAAATTATATACCGATTTGTTCAATGACTTATAAATTATTGTAGAGCTGTGATGATTCAATATGTAGGTTGTGATGGCCTCAATAGGGCAAAGTGCTCCAGGCATTGGGGCTATCAATAAATTCCTTGGGTTTTATTTATTGACATGGTGACATGATCTTATCATTAAATCTTGGATACTAAATAAGATATTAACATATAGGAAATATTAGTCCAGGTAACGAAGCTAATAATTTTCAATTTAAAGTTACAAGGACAAAGATGTCAAAAAATGTCTTAATGTCACTGGTGGTTTATTGACTTTATAAAATGCCTTTCCTAGAGGCTATCAAAAAAATGTTAGATCAGCATCCAGAAAGGACATTTGTAGTCTTTCTGGAAATAAAAAATAGTTTTCAAACAACCATTAGTATACAACAGTATGGAGAAATTTGCCAGGCACGTTGACTATCTAATGTTTCTATTGTTTATTTAACACTAACTCATGTATGCCTAGATATTGATGATGATCATCTTACCATTTATTTATTGTGTGTGTTGTTTAGATTTATGTTTGTACAAATTATGATGTCCTGGAGAAGGCTGTGATAAAGGGTTAGGCTGTCATCAAAGTCGATTTTGATTTACAGGTTATTAGTAGTAGAGAAGATTTTGGGAGTTTCAAGATAGAGAACAAATAGAAGTCCAAATAAATTCCATCTTGTTAGAATGTTACAATTGTGTTCTAGAACCTTTGCTTTGTCCAAATATTCCATCCTGTTAGTTAGAATGTTACAATCGTGTTACAGAACCTTGACTTTGCTAGTCAAACTGTATCTGTAAGAAGAGTTTGGTTTTTAGTAATGTGCAATTTTAGATTTTAGAAAAATGTGTCGGCAAAAAGTCACTAAAAAGGAATGTAGTTATTGTAGGTATTATGGACCCAGGTAGCTACGGACCCAGGTAGCTACGGACCCAGGTAGCTACGGACCCAGGTAGCAGCATCACAAGAAACAGAACCACGCTTTTCTCTGGTCAAAATAATTTTTATATATAATAGTTTTACAGTGATAAAATTCAATGTACTAGGCTGCAAAAACACGAAAGTGAAATTTACAAATATGCAATATATCCTCTGAGCAGACAAGCAGCATATTTCATCATGGCTACTTGCAGTCACAGAAAAGAAAGTTGGAAATTACGATTAAATGGGGAAGATAATTAAATTTGTCTGAATCAAAATGTGGTCACCTGCCAATTTTAAATGGCTGCGACTATTCGGATCCGGTATCAGAAGTGAGAGGTTGGGTTTATTAAAAAAATATTATTGTAGGGTTTGAACGACAAAATTTGGTATCGAATGAAAGATAATTGAATGGACTATATGTTCAATACTTCAGCTAACTAAATAAACTACCACGGATGACATCCGAAAAGCATTTAGTCTAAAGGTACCCAGCGATTTTAAATACAATACTTAACAACAATGACCAAAGAACATCAGAAAGCCAACAGTACAAGTCCTTGCATTCTTAATGTGAATAAAAAACTTTAAAACTTTTGTTGGACCATGCATTCATCTATTCCTGCCCCCTTTATATTGACAGCATTGTTGTTGTAGAGATGTTACCAGTAGTATTTTGATCAATTTGTCAAATATTGTGTGTTCGTAATATGTAAATATAAATTTCATGTTTTGCCTGTACAAATTTAAAATTCTATAAAGATTGATGTTGATAATGGTCTTAAGCGTGATCCAAAAATAAATCTATAACTTAAATAATTTATATTTTGTTTCTTATACTTTCAAAATGACCCATCTGTAACTGTTATACCATAAACTGTTGGGTGAACAATTTTTTTTTTTTTTAAATTATTTTCTGACTCAACAATGTATGTCATGCCATTATTGTCCTTCCCACTGTGCCAGATTGTTCCTCACTCTTCAACTTGTATTCAATTATATTTGTTTTAAGAGGAGAAGAGTTGACATCCTGAACATGTGAAAACAATGTTTGACTTTGACCACTGTTGTGTTCAGTTCTGTAGAATCTTTGAGAGATGTATTCAAGATTCTGTATTTCGAGATGTCAAAATCAGTATTCAAGAAATCCAAATTCATAAATAGAAAACTGAAAAGAATGGAAAATTTTCATTTTAAATGAATTTAAATCACTTTAATTTTTATGAAACAAAAAATAAATCTCACAATGCTATCATTTACAGATTTGCTGAGCAAGATTCAGCCAGAAGGTTATATAAAAAATAGTTGGAAAAAATATTATGTATATCACTGAATATGAACTATAAATTACAGCAATACATAGATTTAAGTATAAAAACAGGGATGGGTGCAGCTAACATTATAATTAGTAGTGGTGCTAAAGATGTTGAAGTCAAAGTACATTGTAAAGGATAAAATCGAATTAAAATCTCCAAGACAAATTATGGTTCAGACTGGGAGACATACGGCTAGAGACAGCAAATCTTTGAGGCTTGTTTCAACACATTTTCATTGGAGCACGAACATTATTTATTTCAGTAACAATCTAAGTTAGTTAAATAATTTAAAGATTTAATAAATTTAGGGATCAATGGTCCTCAAAAATTATCAAATTATAAAATATTTCATTAAAATTTTATTTCATTTTAATTTCACTTTCCCCCTATCCACTTTACATTTAACAAAATAAAATTTGTGTTTAAAAATGTTGTTCATTGCGCATTATATATTTATTTGCAACTTTAGACGAACAATTCTTTTTTTATGTATGATGAATATTAAAAAAGTAAAATTTCAACATACATTTTGGTTCTACACTGATTTATCGTTGATGGGGGCATTTTTTAACATTCTAAAAAGCTCCTACACTTTATCACTGAATTAAACCTAGTATAACATCAGCAATTTGTGCAATTTAATACAAAATACTGTGAATTTTAAATTAAGGCATCCAAAATTTTGCCAAGCTTAAAATACTTTAAGGGGAAGATGTGTCGGCTAAAAGTCTGCAGTCTGGTGAGCAGTCATTTCCCTGAATTCTGATTAGCCTGATATAAAATTTCAGTACAATGTTATAAAGATTTGCATTAGGCATGTTTTGATAGAAGGAATTTAAAAAATATATTGCTGGGTATTGTCTGGTATTTAATCAAAGTTTAATATTTTACATGGTGCGCAAAATAAAATTATTGAGGAATTAAATAATTTTACAAACTTAGCGCATGGGCAGCGTAATATATGAAGTTGATGCACATTTCAAAATTTTATTTTAAGCATCAATTGCACAAAGAATTAAATATGTTGATTCCGGGGGGGGGAACCTGTGGCTTTCATTTGAGGACAAAGTAAGTACATATGCTTACAAGAAAAGCTAATTTTCAACTAAATAAAATTTAGAGGGTTTGGGGGGGCAGATCGGGAAGATTTATTTATGAGGAAAAAGTATAGAAATAAATAAATAATTTCTTTCGGGGAGGGAGGGGATTGAGCCACAATCTGATAATTCTTTTTATGAAATAACTGATAAATCTATAGTCTGCTGAATACAGATTTCTGAGCTGTTAGCAAAATCAACATTATATGTTATATATGAACAAAATATATAAATATATATGTAAATGCAATAAAATTATTAAAAATGTGTTGACTTGTCCGAAAATTAAAACTGAAAGATTGAATGTACAACTACAATATTAAAAGTGTTCTTTGATGAACTTGAAAAAGTTTCATATCTGTAAAAAAAAAAAATTTAAATAGAGACCTATATTATGGATTTTTATTTTAAATTGATAAATTTCTAAATCCAATAGTCTCAAAAGTTAAAAAGGGCTAACTTACACAATCAAATTTAAGAGAACACGGGCTAATAACTCAAAGAGCATGACATACTCCTTCCAAATGTGTTTTCCTAATGGAATAGAAATGTTACATTTAAACGCCGGCATAAGTTTCATTGACCATAAGTTGAGAAAAGAACTGTGGTGGAAGAAAAACTAAAAAATGTTAGCTTTTTTTCATTTCAGTTACCTTATTTTGTCACACATATTATTTTTCTAAAGTTTGGCATGCAGCCAATTAGGTAACTGATCTCAATATATTCTAAAGAACAAAAAAGCAGTAAAAGGTTTTTAAAAAAATTAATTTAGCAGCTTTGAGCACTAAAAAGTTTAAAAATTAAATAAATACAAATCCCATTTAGATTTACATTTCCTGCCAAAACTTCTACAGCCCTTTTCCTAAATATAAGAAAAACTTGGTCACTTCAGCTACCAGTATCTAATAAAAACTAATTCTTGTACTCCTAATAGTGGTGTTTTATTTTATCACATAATAATTTTTAGCCACCAATTATTTTTTTTTCCTGACATGAAAGCGACATATTTTGTAAGCCAGACAGCAGCCATCTCTTTCTCAAATTTACTACTGGAAACATTGTAAGAACAGACTTGCAACAAATAAACCACTGCTATTTAAATTGAGAATTGGTATTAGAAACTGATTTTTTTTTTATTATTCAGATAAATTTATTCCATACATTATCCAAAAATTTCAAGATATATCCATAAATAATGTATAATTAAAAGACCAATATTGATTTGGTAAACACCTGTTACTGCTCAGGTGATGTTCAGATACACATAATACCACACACACACATACACATGATTGACATGTCATTGCTCCTCCCTAACTTTCCACAGCAACAACAAAAAACACTGTAATTTAAGAATCAAGACCTGGTTCTCAGACTGTTCACAGTACATTGCTCTGAGAAGCCTGCATACCATAAATCTCTTACTGATCACCAATGGATAAGTGTGAAAATATTTTGATTATTTATTTTCTAAAAAATTATTCAACAATAGATCAACAGAAATTCTGGCTATAATGTTAATATGAAATTGTGAAAGGTATTATTCTAAAATAATTATGTAAAATTTAAATCTCATGCAAGCCAAAGTTAGGAAATATTTATAATTTAATGACCTGAAGAATCAGAAAAATGAAGGAAGTTATCTGCCCTTATAGTTATTGTAATCATATTTCCTATTTAGGACTTTATTTATGAAGCTCAATTTGTATAGATATAGATATTCAAATATAGTGGTTTTCAAACTAATTACTTAAATATAGTGGTTTTCAAACTTATTACTTAAATTCTCTACCACATCATTCAAGTATAAATTATATACATGAGATGTTTGGTGAAGTGCAATATCCAAACAAATAACTTTTATTATTACTGGGGTTTGTTATTTGTGACCTTGTGAATTTATTCCATTTAACACCCTTTGAAAAATTACTGTAATAGCAAAATGAAGATATAGGTGTGATGAAAATTTACAGCAATCAGTTCTGATGAAATAAAAAAATGAAGAATACCATTTCTAAAAATTGTCTAGGGTAGAAAAAAAAGTTTTTTGCGCTATTGATGTAAATGCTATTTATTTTAATTTTCATAATTCTAAAGAAAGACTGATAAGAAATAGTTGGAAAACACTTTGTATTTTGTTACCAGATTTATTTAAAAACAAAGATTTGGTTCATATATTTATTACTCATACATGTACGATGTAAGAAGAATTAAAAAGCATGTTGCATTTCAAATTAGTCAGACATTTGTAGTCCCCAAAACAATGAAATATTACAAAAAGATTGTTTGCTTAACACTCAATTCATGGAGTTAGCCAAGAAAATGAACCTAAGGAAAGGTGCATGCAAAGAAAAGAAATATTGGTGACATCCAGTTGAAAGCACAGTAATTAAAACAAACACAACATACATGCACACAACTTCCCAAATATTTCATTTAACTATTCAGGAAGACACTCCGATTTTTTTATTTTAAAATTGAGAGATAAAGATCAAAGCCAAATATGATGTGTCATCAAACTGTCAAAAATTGACAAGAAGTAGAAGGCATCACAAAATATTTATCTTCATCCACACACTCTTCACTTTTGAATACACTCACAGCTCACCAGTATAACAAACAAAAAAGCTATGATTATATGCAACAAAGTTTTTTTTTTTAAATATTCCAAATATTCCAATCAAAAGTCAAAAGAACCCACTTGCATTATTATGGAGGAAGGAGAGAAATGGGGTGTGGGGGGGGGGGTGTAAAAAGATATAATTAGATGAAAAAAAGTTTTTTTTTTTAAATATTCAAAATATTACAATAAAAAGTCAAAAGAACCCACTAGCATTATTATGGAGGAAGGAGAGAAATGGGGTGTGGGGGGGGGGTGTAATGTGATGGAAAAGAGCTTGGGGGTAGTCATGGGATTATTAGGTTCTTGTTTTATGTGCATCATTGATGATGTTATTCCTGGTTGTAAGTGGTAAGTTGTGTGGATCATTGTCACGTTACTTAAATACAACAGCATAATTAAAATTTAAGAAGATCCTGTAGTTTTTAACACCGTCATAAAACACTGTATCAAACAGACTGATCTACAACAATCAAGTGGATCATTGTTCAAGATCAGTTGAATATTGACTCCAACTGAATCACCCGTGACCAGGTCTGATAATGCCCTGTAACCAAATTGTTTCAGGTAGCACACAGGTCATTTTAAATGTGTATCATTCATGAATAGATGTGTGGTGAACAACTGACAACATATCATCATCATCCGATGACAGCAAAGTTATTTACTGCAGTAGAAAATACAATAATTATGTGTTTGCCGTCAAAGGAAAATATGTCAGAAAAGGCAACAAACAAATTACATGTACAACTTTAAATAAACATTGCAGTAAAGTACACAATGAAACTTATTGCAGTTTAAGCATAGGTGAATGCTTTAAGATTTTCCCCATTCATGTTCAGATGTTCAATTCAAATTACCATATAACCACCATGAAAGGTAAAAGCTGGTCAGTCATGATCATTTTAAAACAGTATTTAAAAGACAAACGTTCTCACAGGTCACTCTTCCAATGTGCACTACATGATCACAGACCGGTTGATACTCCAATGATTAAATTAATCAATTTACAACAGTTAATAATATAAAATGCAGCACTCCAAAAACAAGAAGGAATAAAATAAAAATCAATTCATCTCAAAATACATACTGGATTTAGTTGTTACGATATGGTGCAATAGAGACAAAATTTGAAGAAAAAAAAGTTTCACTGCAGATTTTCAAATAGATCTATATTATATGATTTCCAAAAATACAAAAAATACTAGACTTAGTCATTTTAAAGTTGTAAATTTTTCCTCTTTTTATGAAATACTGAAAATAAAAAAAATTCAATTAAGCAATTTTTTTCGCTTATATTTATCATTGTGCTCTCTAACCTCAATTTTAATTAACGACGTAATCGGAGAGGTTGATGTTGATTATAAGATCAATTATTGATTGCTTAACACTGTGAACACACAAGAATTTGGATAAAAGATAAAGAGAAGCTATAGTCCTATGGTTTTGAGAGGCCACTAAAGGAGAAAACAGAACATACTGATCTTCATATACTGTTGGAAAAATTAAAGATAAATAATCCAGTACATTACAGTGTTTAAATATTCACATTAACTGCTGCCTCAAACCCAGAAAACTCCTCCTTTAAATAAAAAATACAACTGACAAGAGAAAAGGGTTATTCCTTCATTGACACACAAACCAGTTGACACACCATGTTGGCATGTGTCGGCCAAGACAAAAAAAAAAACTTTTCATTTTGTATTGCGTTTTTGTTTTAAATCCTCTGCCCTATGCCTTTTTTATACAGGAGAATTTTTTGTGTAAGACTGTTTATTTCACTTTCTGGACCTGATATCAAAATATTTGTAACTTTGTACAACAAAGTAAACAACAAATGGTCAAATGTCATGGTTAATGATAACAGTACACAGTTAAGCTAAGGTTAAATAAACGGGTACCGGTAAGTAGATTTCTTTCTTTTTCTTTGTTTAAAATATCCCCTAAGTTAAAAAAAAAAAAGCTTAATCCATTCATCAGCATATTTCAGTGCAGTCCTGGCCAAAGCCAGCAAAGGGGCCTAGAGCTGTAAACAGCTATCCCCGTGAGGAGCAGAAAATGATGTGCATAGGCTTCTTAAGTCTGGGGCCCCAATGAGCACATTCCCCACCTCGACCTTAGGAAAATCAGTCCATCAATGGCTACTCACAAAAGCACATTAAGCAAAACTCACACAACAACACAAATAATATCCAATTTGTTTTGTATGCCCTGCACTTTTCAAGAGGTCAACTCCAACAATTTTCTATGGTGTCTGACTATTTGGTTGTGTCAGATTCGATGATAAAGATAAGTCTTGATAACAATAAAGTCTAAGAGCTGTAGTATAATTATATCACAAAGGAAATCCCAAGTTTAAAGGCAGTCATCAGAAAGGTCCCCCCCACCTTCAATCTAAAGTGACCATCAAATGAAAATAAATTGTATAGATGAATTTATTAATTGGTTTATTTCCTTGTAAAGGTTCTGACAACAAAATGTAGAGTCAGTCTCAAATTAAGTTCCTACTTGAAAACAAAATGTAGTGTCAGTCTCAAATTAAGTTCCTACTTGAAAACAAAATATGGAGTCAGTCTCAAATTAGATTCCTTCTTGAAAACAAAATGTAGAGTCAATCTCAAATTAGATTCCTACTTGAAAACAAAATGTAGAGTCAGTCTCAAATTAGATTCCTGATGGTCATGGTCGTAATAATTTTCTTTAGAACAGTGGTTCCCAAAACAAGAGTATAAGGGGTTTTGAGGTAAAGTCGAGAGAAGATACAAGAAATTTAAGAAAACAAAGAGCTTCTTATCCTCTTTCAAATACGGGTACTCTTGCCAAGTGATATGTGGCTTAAAGAAATACCCAACCTTCAGACCAATATGGGACAAGTCAACCTGTGTTGGAAACCACTGACATAGAGCTAGATTTCTTTTTCTTTCAATCTAAAAAAAAAAATTCAGTAAAGTCCAAGACAAAGGGCAGATTTAGGAGTTTCAAGAGGTACAAATGAGGTCAAAGTTCGGTAATTTACATACAGTTCTAAGCAAAGGGAGTCTGTAGCACAATTCTAATAGATTTGGAAACAGAACCCTTATTTCACCAAATCAGATCACAAATCCAGTAAATCTAATAGAAGTGTCCATGACACAAGACCCGAATTTTGCTCTTAGTCAGCTAATATCCAGGCTTCAAGCATTGCTGTAAAGGAATGTTTTTGAAGTCAGTTTTTTTATTTATTTCTTCTCTGTTTAAACTATCAACTTTCTATTGACTGGCACAGGAAATGGGTTCAACTTGCCTATAATTCCTAAAAGAGTTTTAGACAAACAGCCTTGACCCAACCCATATGTACATAAATTCTACAGCATCTTCATTTAAAAGTAAGTCTGATGTGACATTGTCATTCGCACTACATCTGATATGTCATGTACACTAAATCTGATGTGAAATTGCCATGTCCCAATAAGTCAGATTATGGCATTGTCATCTACACCGTGTCGCTGACGACACAGTCAGAATGAGAAGTGATAACCTAAGATAACACAGATTTACAAGACTCTACTGACGAGTTGTTACTTCCACCATTATATGGATGCTGGATTGATCCCTTTCACCGGGAGGGGGTGAGCTTCCGTGTTGAACACCCACTTGTCTAGAGGTATAAGAGAGTCATCAGAGAAGATAAGGTATAAATATTTGAGCGTCTCTGCCAGGAAGAAACTCTGCTGAACGTCATCATGCTGGGGATTGATCTGATAAACATCCTTCAGCCCCGAGTAGCCACCTTCAACGCGACAGTTCTTCTCTAAAGCCTGCAGAAATGAGATCAACTAAAACTTACTGAGCGGGTCACAGGAAAATATTGTTTTACACACACGCAAACACAAAAGTGAAAGTCAGGGTCAGCCAGATAGAAACTATTTAAGCAGAAAAGGCAATTTTTACAAATACGAAATGAGAATTTTTAATGTGAAAAACTGTATTTTTAATCCACAAATTTTTATTTGTTGGAATGATGGTGAAGTTTGAGTTTAACAAGTTGTTTGGAAAAGTCTCACAAACTCATATGGAAATTTTTAGATTTAATATAATGACTTTTGTTTGGTACACTGGGCTGAAATCCCAATAGAAAAAATGTTGCAGACAAAACTGCCAGTTCCTTCTAAAGACAAGGTTTATACAAATTACCTGCACCATCTCCCAAGCCCAATCTCTATATTTTTTATCCTTTGTCAGTCTCCACATATAGAACCATCCCTCCAAAACTTCAGGTCGCAGGATGTAATACTTTTCATTCTGTCGGATGGCTTTGGCTTCAGTGTCACCTTCAAAGCGGAACGACTCGGGGCCCAGTCCAGTAACTGGAAGTAAAAATTACACAGGCTCAATGCGTTTCCAAATTTAATGCCGATCTACGTTTGAAAGACTCTTGGAAATGATTGACCGGAGACTCGTCTTACATGATCATGTAAAAGCTAATACCTACAAAAGATATTACCTTGCTTGATGTGATGTCAATTTTGTTGATACTGTAGAGCAGCTGTCTAAACAGTAACATGTAAAGTAATAGGCTATAAAATTTAAATTTACATGAATAAATAAATGTCATTGAAAAATGTGTGTTACTCTGGAAGTATGTTCTTTCAGTACTTAAATCCAAAACAGACTGTAAAACACTGAAGTATTTATCTAACCTAATCAGATTTGAGTCTTCGACAGTGTTGCATTTCTGTTCCAATAAACAGCCAGCAATTGGCATCCCGCTCACCTGTTCTAATGTAAGACTCGTGGCATGTGTTGGCAAGCTCTGCTCCTACACTAATGTATTTCTCCTTATCTTCAGATCCTTCTGCTCCCATGGCCACCATACCAGCTACAATGAGACAAGGAAGAAGTTCATTTTGTTGGTTAGTAAATGGAAAAAATTATAGTGACATCAATGTATGAATAGACATATTTTTTTGTGTCGTTCCAGATTTTTCTGATAGCCACGTAATTTACTGGTACAGTTACACTCAATTTGTGTAATACCCAGTTGAACAAAACAATGGCCCAGTACTTTAGACTCTGGAAAGCTATTTGTGTGTGACCTGGTCAGAGATAAGTTGACTTTTTCACTCAGGGTTTTCTCCTATCCAAAGACAGTTGGCTTACATGGCTAATGAGTCTGTTCCACCCTACTATTTACCCATAGCTGGGGACGGCCGTGGTTGATAGGCACCTAGGCACTATGGTCGCTTCTAAACTCAAATTATGTTTGTGTCAAGAACTATGATAATTTAGTGAATAATATTTTTGAAACAGAAATTCCTACAAGAAATTTTTTATATTTTTTCAATCCAATAATTCATTTAGTGGACTCACTAACTTTAGTGACCATTTCAAAATATTTTGATTAGGAAAGCCCCAATTAGAACATATGATACATTGGTGTTGCAGCTAAGAACTAATAGCCATCCATCATTAATATGAAGTGTTCAATACCCACAGGAGTGAGTCGGTCAGTACAAAGTATTGTACTCCCATACATAGAATTCATATACAAAAATCCACTCAGTAATCAGATTTACACTCATCTGATCCACTGTCGTTTCATTCCGCAATTGAAATATGCCAAAAGACCCCCAAAGTTTACCAGAGAAACAAGCCAAGTGATCCATCTTGTGTTCCAGTCGTCCAGATTTGTACTCGGCAAAGTAGGACAGCCCTGACTTGGATTTCACCAACATCTTTTCATAGATGACCTGTCAAGAGAAGTTATTTTAAAGAGTCACCAGGTTAGGGAGATTTGAGAAATTTAGGACATACTCATTTCTGACTGGGTGAAACGAGGGTGCAGCATTGACCTCCCATTCTAACGCAATAGACACAATAACCTGAGCTAATTATGGAAATATTGGCTAACCCCGATGCCACGAATCTGATAAATTAAACTACAACAAAATAAATAATTCATTTACGATAAAAAGGTATCACCCTTATGAAATCTCAGAAAAGTATACGTTAAATAATTCAACTTAAAAGTAGTTGTTTCAACAAAACTCAAGTTGAGTAATCAAAATTATAAACAGCAACAGTCTGAGGAAACAGAGACAGAGAAAAGAGATCATTTTATAAAACTGTAGAAAGAATCAACAGTTTCGATACATGATTAAAAAAAATTAAATTGTCACTGCACAGGAGCTCATTACCTTCATTGCATCATCATACATTTTCCTGGCCTGCTCATCTTGTTTGTTGGATATCAACCATTCTTTCAGCAAATATTCATAGAAACTGTCACCCAGTGCTCCCATGCTGACATGCACTGTGATCACAAACAATAGCATTGTTTAATTCAGTCCCACTTATAGGAGATATCGTGATCATAATTTGAACCAAATTCAATCTACCAAAACAATATTAGATTAAATGAGGTGCGATTTTTTAAAAACAAATTTTATAGTCATGAATATATTTACTTGAGACGGGTAGATCAAATTGTCATTATTTGACGGGTAGATCAAATTGTCATTATTTGAAAAATAACAGTTTTTTTAACATAACATTTTCTTAAAAATTTATTTTTCATTATATTGTGTGGCAAACATTAGTTAATAAAAGGAAGAATTTCAATAAAAATATAACATTAACAAATGAAAATTATTGCAAGAAAGATAAATAGCTTACATATAATGTCAGACAGTTTGTTATCTAACATTAGTACTGGTGTGTAGTTAAGAAAATTAATCTGAGTTTGTCTTAAGGTGAGTGAAATGAGTTCGACATCCCTAAGAAATATGATCTTTCCATTTTATCCAGCTCATGCATTAATAAAGAAAATCCTGATAAAACCTTCAGAGACACAAGCATTCCTTTTAAAAAAGTAACTATTGCACAGAGTAAACACTTGTCACTCCATATACCACACATGAATAGACACTTGTGACTCCATATAACACAGATGAATAGACAATGTCACAATACTTACACTGTCCCCACTTGCCAGTTTTTGGGTTGATATAATTAGGGTAAAGCCCTTCAGGCTTTTCAATATCTCTCAGGAAATTTCGGATTTTCATAACCTGAAAATAATTAGGCCATATTTAGCAGGCGCTCGTTTCAAATGGAAACAACGAGGCCTGTCCGGGTTTTCTCTAATTCTATATGCATAAGGCAAGGTAACCAGAGAAATAACATTTCAATGAGTAAATAAACTTTTATGGGAACAGAACAAATGCTACCGCAGTGAGTTTTTTACATTCAGGTAAGGTTGTTAGATACAATGTACTATCTTCTAAACATTGGTTGATTGCAACTTAAATTTTAAAAATCTACATCCCTTCATGCAGAAGCATTTTGAAAAAGGAACAAATTTCATTGCAAGTGGGACAACTCCTTTCATCTAAAATGAATTTATGTCATTCTTAAGACTTTCTTTGCCTTTTCAGGTCTATTGTTAAACAGTTCTTTTGCCTCAATTGTGTCAGTATTGATATTTTTCAAACTTGGAAACATTGTGTCTACATATATTTGTATCTGGAAATAAGTATGAAATCCAACTTGTTCTAAACCAATTTTTACGAAGGAATGTTGCTCAAACCAAAGTTCGTTCCAACGAAAATAATGGAAAAAAAACAATAAAAGCAAATTTTATTCAAAAAGTTGCTATTTTCCGATTTTTCACTCTCACCTTTCTTTGAAATTTTAAAAAACCATTAATATCTTTTGGACAGAAGAAACTTGTGCAATGTCTTTAGCTGCATTTCTTTGAAGAGTGTAAGATCTGATGCATTGTTTAATATCTGGTTAGGTCCACACAAGAATGTAATAATGGGCCAAAGCAAAGTTATTTCAATACCTTCTCTCTGTAAGTGTCTTCTTTAGTGACAGATGACAAGTAGTCAAACTCTAGATGCAGCGATCCGATTTCGGACAAAATAGAGCAGCCGCCAGATGCCCATCCATAATTGCGAGTGGAGCCACTGTTCACAAAAATCAGACAGTTTATGTTTTTATTTTAAGTATCCATAATTATCCAATCCAAAAAATGTTCTCCCAATTTTAATGGAAAAATGTTTTCTTTTTTCGAACTTTAAAAAAAAAAAAATTAAATATAAGAAGACTAACAACCAAACCATTCCCGATTTTCTCCCTGCCACCTTCTGTAGTACTTAGAACACAAATACTGTTGTACAAATATTTTTTTTAAATTCTAAAATATAGGATGTTAACATAAAGTTGGCATAAAGTATCTAAGTTCATTCTTTGAAAAGAATTACTCACGTTTTCAAGTTGACTATAGCATAAGGCAATCCTGTTGGTGTGCTGAAGGCAGGCAGCAGTTTGTCTGCTATGATCTTGGCTTTATTCTTGAACATCTGACGCAAGTGAAATTAAAATCAAATTTAAGTAAGATCATTATATGGAGTCCCTTGACACTAATTGGAAAAATGTGTAGCTTCTTGAAATAATTTGCTGTGATATAAATGCACAGTACAAAATTGCATAGTTGTATATATTTTGAGGCACTGACTGTGAATGGTTAATTTATTTTAAAAATTTAAGGAAAATGAATATATATTTTGTTTAGAAATAACTACATTTTTAAATGTGTGAAATGATGCCACAAACTGAATTTTATCCCACTCTTTCTTACTTTATTTAATTGTGACAAGAGTCACTTATTTAAACCCTCATATGAAATATAAGGTACTGTTTATCTCCAGTGTAGGGTATGCACAAAAAGGGATTTTCTAGACATTTAAAAAAATGTGTATAAATATATTAAATATGCTATATTACTGCTTTTATTTCATCAACTCCTTCCTAAAATAAATAAATAAGTAATAACTAGGACAATATGAGACATTGTTTGAGCTATACCCTCAACCCCCCTATTTTTAAAGTTTAAACTGTCTGTTCTGTATCACATTACGCCTGGCCAGCAAAAAAGTGTAGCCTGCTCAGCTTATTTTTAACTTATTCGCCCCTCCCCTCTACTGTGATTAACACACATACAAAATAAAAAAATACAGCTGTGTTGTCTTAACATGATAAACAATAAGGTGAGCTATCAAAGTACAACCAAACAACATTGTTACCATCAAAGGAAGGTATGCCTTTCAGGGTTGGTGTATTTCAGGGTTATTGATTAGCAAATAACAATAATTGAGATGCAATGTGTGTCTAATCAATGCAATCAAACGGTATTTATAGCAAGAGGAAACTTAAGATAGGAACAATAGTATGTTATGAATAAATCCAACACTCTCATTTAGTCTTGAATTGGTGACATAGAATCTAAAAGGCTGGTGTAAATAGAAAGTAGGCCACAGTTATAACCGAGTAAAGAGAATTTTTAATCTAGATCTATTAATTAATTCAAGAATTAAATATTGTGACATTTTAAAAACTCTTATTGAGTTTCATTATGAAAGGCTGTCTTGTGATGCCGTAATGATATAAGTGGTTCAACATGAAAATGTACAACTTTTACTGTAAAACTATCTTTTCTAAGCTATTTTTTATTTTAAAATACAATGGTTCAAATGTTAAAAATAATATAACAATATTTTTTAATATTTCATTTTTTTTTTTAAAAGAAGGAAAAAAGACAGGCATTCTTGAAAGGGTAGGCTTGACCCAAGCAGAGATCGTTGCAAAGACCACCAACCTGATCTCCTGTGAGGGCATAGGCAGACAGAAGGCCACCAACAAATCGAATATTGGTCTCAAATACTGACAGTTCTGATGACTGAGGAAATCAAAATAAAGTTGCTCAGTAATAATAATTTTTTTTTAAATTGGGTTAATTTTAAAAAATAATTTATTTATAACAATAACATATTTATATATTTTTTGCAATGTTCTAACATTATCTTTTTTGTTTTTTCTTTTCAACATGTTACCCAAAGTATTCTTACTATCAGCAGTCATAAGACATAATAGAAATTGACTAAAAGAAATTATTCTCCATTTTTTAAAATTGAGTTAATGTAAGGTGTAGTACCTTTTTAAGAAAAGACTTTGGTAATATTTAAATTCATAAACAAGATTTTGGGGAGGGATAGAAAGTTGCCAGGGCTTTTTTTGTCAATGTGCTGTGAAGTGTAGGAGGGTGGTATAACAATCACACAGCAGTGTCTACTTGACAAGCCCTAAATACCAACATTTTATTGCTGTCACTAATACTAATCCATACTCTTAGGGGGAGGGGGGGATGGGGGGAAGCAAACCCTCTTTACAGCCCCAGGTAACACATTGGCAACTAGCTCCATCTGCTCAAATGTGCCATACAACATATCTGTAAAGTAGGACTTCAGTTAGATATTGTTGCATTGACTAAAATAGAGGTAGCTATTCTGTCATTTAACAAAAATAATATATATATGGAAAGCCAACAGCATTATCTACACATATCTATCTATCTGGATTACCTTTTGGTAGATTTATAATATTACATTACCCTTTATTTAATGTGTGAAAAATGTGCAGGGCAGGTGTTTCCTTCTCTTAATTAGTTAACATCTAAGTATAGTTAATAAAGTATGCCTCTGTTTATCCATACAATGGTCACCATGGCTTAATCAGGTTATCGTGACACATTACAACTAATGAAGAAATAGTTAATTACCATCTATTCTCTTTTCAACCATTGAAATGAACCAGGTTTAAGGAATATGCCACTGAAGGCATAAAAAAATAATTATAGAATTTTAACAACCTTGCTTTATAGCAGGATTTCCACAATTTATTGCCGGCCTAGAGATTGCAAAGCCACATCAAAAATTAGGTCACAGCTTAAGTGTTTTTAAGCTACGCAAACAACGCTCTGCTTTAAAGGCTATTTTAACTTCAAAATACCAGACTTAGGTATTAAGGACTTAATGAAATATAGATCTTGTCTTTTAGCAGATTTCTTGTTGAACTAATCAACAGTGACAATGTAGCATTCAGATTCTACTCCATTGATAATGAGAACTATTCTTGTGTATAAGAGCATAGTTATATGTGCATAACTTAAGAGCTCACAATAAAAAAAACTAAGATCAACATTTCTCAAGCTACCTAATTCAGGTTCTAATTTTTTATTTGCTAAACTGCCAAAATTCTGTGACCCTCATTTATAATTACCACATCAAAGTTCAGACTCAGTGCTATCCAATCCCGGGCTTTCTTGTATTCTTCATCCAACTCCATTATGTAGAGAGTATCTACGGCATCCACAATTGTTGCTCCCAGCTCACCTGCACCAAATATACTGCCTGTGTGTGGTCTTTTTGAGATGGGTCTGTGTTCATTGGACCCCCATCCATATTTTTCATACCCTTTCCATGCGTGTAGCATCATCTATAAAAAAAGATACATTTGAAAATGAAGTGTGAATGGGTTATCAAGATGAAGAGTAAACGTTTCCTCTTCAATATTTGGATTTTTATAATCAGAGGGTGGCGTTTTACCTCTGAAAAAATCAGCCAAAATAGCGTAATATCATTTATGAATGTGCCAAATCATAATCATGATTATTTAGAAACTTTGATACTCGTTCGCACACACGTTCTAAGCAAATCAAAATTTTATGGTAAAACTTTGCGCCATTTAACAATGGGCTATGCAATAACCTAGTATATTTTCAAATTTACATCAGTTTTCCAATATTAAATTAATTTTGTCATCAATTACGCTAATTATTTGTCTTGTGAGGCTTTTAAAATGATCCCCCCTCCCCCACATGGACGATTTTTTTTCTTCACCGGGAGGGTGAAAGTGGCTCTCGATAACATTAAATAATAGTTTTCATATTTTCATATAGTTTTCATATAAATCTATGTAAATTAATAAATTATTTTAAAATATCCTAGATATGGATATGATAATTTAAAAAACTTGTGGGTTAAGCATACTGACACACTACTAAGTCTAAACTTAATATTATACATTTTTGTGAAAATTGCATTCCTCTATGACTTGTTTAAAATTAGATAATGTTAAAATATAGCCCATAAAATTTGTATTAAAAGACATCACATAGATATAAATAAATTAGACTCAACTTCATCATAGTCGTAGCAATAGTATTTTTATTAGGCATAGGAAAACAGTTCACTTCAACGAGTATTTAATATTTCTAATAATATAAACAAAAAGAAATATGTTTTAATAAACATTAAACTTGAATAATATTAAAAAGAAATAAGTATTGATTAGTTTCAGGGTTATGGTTAAAACCATTAAAAATCAAAACCTTTCTTCTACAAGTGCTAGAAGATAATATTGGCATCGTTGTAATGCTAAATGCCATCCCTTTCCAATAGTATGCTTTTCATGCATGTTAGATGTATTTGAAATTTTGAACTTGAGTACCGGTAATGATAGCAAATTAAAATTTAAAAGCATATTGACATATTGATATTTTTGCAATGAAACTAAAACCGGTACTAAAATCAACTATATAATTGTGCATTAAGTTTATTTATTTAATTCTGGTAAAAGAAGTCATTTTTGAGGCTATTACATTTATCAATAAATATTCAGTTGTCAATTTCAAATCGTCTCGATGAACTTCATACTCATGTTATAATCACACAGTTTAATTTTAATCAAATTTTCTTTGAAACTGTCTTCAAAATTTAGTTGTAATCTTTTTTAAGCAATATTAACTCTTTGCATCCTTGAACTTTTTGATATTTTCTAAAAATCTCTAGTGACACCACAAAAGAGTCAATACCCTAAAGAATGTTTGTCTAAAGTTAAAATATCATTAAAAATGTTTGTCTTAAGTTCATGAGATTATATATAAATTGGTAGGGACTTACATGAGGCTTTCATGAATTAATGTTTCTTATGTTTAAACTCAATACTTTGAAGTGTGAGAAGAAAAAAAAAATTAATTATTTAATGAAAATTTGAAGAAGAAAAAATTGGTGATTAGATGCAAAGAAGAAAAATATTATCAAGAATTTTTTCATAAAATCTATTTATTCAAAAAGAAAATTCCTTTTGTATGTCATAAGAAGAAATCAAACATTTTTAATAGAATGTTATCAAAATATGAAAGAGTTTTTAAAATGTGTCAACAAGGGGAAAGAATACATAAAAATCAATTGACCACCCCCTCACAAAGGATTTAAAAAAAAAAATTACAGTTACCGTATTTTCTGGCGTATAAGACGACTTTTTAACACCTAAAAATCTTTTCAAAAGTCTGGGGTCGTCTTATACGCTGGGGGTCGTCTTATGAGCTGGTGTACAGCCCAAACCCTATATTTTAAAAGGAAAGTAGGGGTCGTCTTATACGCCCAGTCGTCGTATACGCCGGAAAATACAGTAATCATTATTTTACATATTTATAATCATTTACATAAAGAAAATATATATGGCAATATCATCAAAATGGAATAAAAGGGTTATCCAGTACTTTTTTGTTTTCCTTAGGGTGTTACATTTATTTAACAACTGGTCTCTTTCTCCACACCGCACATGAATGCATTGTATGATTTTACAATGTTTGGTTGTCTCATCAACTACTGTTCTAAAAACACCATCAGCTTTGGTTCTCCAGTTCACATCAGAAAATCCAATCTCTATCATATAATTAGAAACAAGAGTGGCTGTTTTAATGTCTCTTCAATGAACAGTTAAAATTTCATCCTCTCCAATCCACCTTTAATTGTTTTTTCTCATAAGTTTTGATGTCTTTCAGTTCTTAAGGAAACCTTTCCTATTTTTTAATATGGCCCTACTATCAAGTATTCCAATTAACAGATCTTTTAGTACTTTAAACCCACTAAAAAAATTATTTAAAGAACATTTGGTAGCCTTGGTTTTTTCATTTTAACAGACTTGATAAGGTTCATCACAACATCATAGACCAAGCCATTGTTTGATGAGTAAGCCTGCTTCCCTAAATATAAATCAAAAGTGTAGCCTGTTATTGCCTCTGCTAGGACCCAAACTTCCTACCCCATTTGGTTGGCTTTTTTCTTACATATTGCCTGAAAGTGTATCACCCTTTGTTTTTCAACACATGTTTATCTATACCAGGTCTGCTGCACAATATACGGCCTGCGGGCAGCATGCGCCCCGCCAGCACCCACTTGGCGGCCCGCGAAGTAACGAAATATTGTTTATTATTATTGTTTTCTTAATAGCTTTCACCCCTGTTCTATTATCTTTCGGCCCGCCTTACATTTTTCATAAAGTATTACGGCCCTCCTGACATTTTGAGTAGTGCACGCCTGATCTATACATAACTGTTGGCGAGGCTGGTACAGCTCCTGACATTGTCTTTTTATAAAATCGACAAGAATCTAACTTTGCACAGTTTCTCCTCCTTATTCTCTAATTCAATGTTAGAAACTTTGGGGAATGTCATTAATTGAGTAAATCTTTTTTGTTCAAAAAGGCTCTGGTACAAAGTTAACTTTGACAAGTATTTTTGTACAATGGGGACCTGTACAATTGACATATACATTAGTAGAAGTCCTAAAAATTTGTAGAATTACTCTGCTGATACATCATACCAACCACTGCACATGGAAGGCTAAGAGGTCCCATGGTAGAGGAATAGTTATTGTTGTACTTTACAAATGTTTAAACCAAATCAAAGGTATTGGACCCTCGCTTCGGCATGTAACGTGAATCTCAAACTCTAAAAAAAATCAAAATTATTAAAAAATCTTTTGATATATTTTTCTTCCAATGGTACGATGAAATAAATGAAGAATATTAATAAAAAGGACAAAATTTTATGAGCAAAATAATTTGCTTAAATAAAGATATGCTCTCTATAGAGGAAATGAAACGAGTTAACGTTAAATTTCATCTCCACACACAAATAAAACCCCTTAGACAAAAATTTCATACACAGATGACGGGCAAGATGCATTCAGTTTACTTACAATAAAGAGAAAAAGAAGTTTATTAATAAAATCAAGCTGACTGCGTCTATCGTGACATCTGATTGTACTTGTCTATTTACTGTTTCGCTTTCTTGGCAAAAAATAATAAGGGCAAAAACCTCTGCTTCTTCAGTAACATTATATGCATTATCTTTTCAAATAAGAGTGTTCGGTGGTGAAATAAGGCAGAAAGCTAGTCACAGGCTTTCACAGTTAAATACAAAGATAAATAAGGGGCTTTAACTCCACTTTAACTCCACTTCTATCAATCAAAGCTAGAAAGATTAAATTAATGTTTTTTATAAAGCTAATAGCCAGCCCTTTCAAAATGATTATCTTTTAGTTTTAGGACAATATTTAAAATTAGGCAGTGTCTACACCATATCCCGCACTATTTGTCCGGCGGGCGACCAAGTCACATGACCGCCGGAAGAACACTTTGTCGAGATATTCGTCCGGCGACCAAGTCACATGACCGCAGTAACAAAGTCACGCGAGATATTTGTCCGTCAGCATTGTCACGTGACCGCGAATGACTCAAAACTATTGTTAATTTTAAAATCTCTACCAAATAATTTACTGAGTATCTTGCTAACAAATAATAGAAAAAAAATACTTGGGTATATTACCAAACAAAGTGGGGGTTAAGCAATAATGCATTCTGGAAGGGAGCAATGCTGAGAGGGAGAGAGAATTACGGTAATAAAAACTACGAATGCTAAAAAAATAATACTGAGGGTGATAAATAATTAAGTTTAAGGCCGATAGTTCACAAAGAAATAGACCTTACATCTTAAAATAGGGCCAATATGTGGTAGCCTAGCCTACTTGTCATGCAATACTAAATACTAATCCTAAAATACAACTTTATTGACATAGGCATAGGTCTATTGAAGTCTTCTGGTCTTATTTTATTTGGTTCATATTTTAAATTTAGGCTGCTTACAAGTACTTGTGCTACTAATTAGTACATAGGCCGACTAGTTTAAGATTCAAAGTCAAACACTTTATTTAACTCAGAGCATTTGAATACATTAACATGTTCAGCATTTACTTATTATCTAGGGATCGGAATATCAAATGCAATGCAACTATTTCGCCGGCGACCACTTGTCAAATGACCCACCGGAATAATAACGCCTACTACTATTAGTCGTCCGGCGGTCTCGTGACATGCCCGCCGGACGTATATCTTAATCTTACGCACTATGTGTCCGGCGCGCCGGACGTGTAGACACTTCGTTAAAATTATGTCAAAGTACCCAATACTAATAATATACTACACTGTACTGTATTATACTACAGAAGAAACCATTCTTAATCTTACTCACCTCTTTCACTTTATCCCTTTTCGCCTTAACATCAGGTTCAGAAGGCTCACCTCCACGAGCCCCAGGATGTCCCTGATGGTCTATGTTGATTTTTTTTGCTTCTTCTATTCTTTTCTTTTCTTCTTCTTCCTTTTTTATTTTGAGTATCTCTTCTTTTTCCTTTTGTATGCTTTCTTTAAGTTTTTTAGCCTCTTCTGGTTTAAATTTGTTTATTTCTGAATTTATCTTATCCTTAGCCCATGAACTTTCTATTTTTTGTTGTAACTTTTCCCTATCGATATTATGAAATTCTTCATGTGCATTATGGTTATTTGTATTTTGCAATGGTGCTCCTCCTGGCCCAGGTCGAGGATCACCAGGAATGAAAAGACCTGCTCCTATTTCTTTGATCTCATGTATAGAGACTTTATCCTGCATATTAGGTAAAAACATGAAAGCACATAAGCAAACTATGGTGAATGTCATAAATACCAAGAGGATTATATATTTTTCCCGCAATCTTAATGTTTTTCTGCCTTGCGGGACAGGCACACCATTGACATAACGCTGGTAGAAAGGCAGCGTCGTTGGTCCTTTGGCTGCCATGATGTCGCTATGTTTTGTTGATGCTAGACCTGCAGCAAATAATCATAGCCGGATAATAGGTCACAATTTTCGTTTGTCTATTTTAATCCAATTGATGTGGCAGTCACGTGATCTAAATTAAATGTCACATGACTTTTTCCCGTGTTTATGGAAGGTTACGTTCTTCAGTTGCTGAAAGACAAGATTGTGTTGGATAATTTAGCGGTTCTCATGACTTAAGACTCCCACACTTTAAAAAAAAAAAAATGCAGAACCCCCAAAGAATTTTTGTTTATCCATTTACTACACGTTCCTAGTGTTCCACCTATGGTATATTAATAAACAGTGGTCGGAGGCATTTGGTCGGAATAGTAGCCTAAATATATAATTATAAGATAGAGTCATAGAGGAAAGCAGGGAATGAAAAGCACAGTAAAGGAAACACTGGTAAGGTAATAATACCCCCATGGCATCCGCTAGAGAGCATTCCGATGAATAGGCATGCGCATAGAGGTAAACAAGGTTAGAGTTAAACAGTTAAACATGGCGTAAAACCTGTATTTGGTCAGCTGACTGAGTTGAAGCACAGCTCTGAGATATTTTGGATAATCGTAGGTTTGTCTGCTTTGGTCAAGTTAACAATTATAAACGAGGGCCTTATTTTATATTTTAAATAATAAGGCCGACATACGGCCATAAGTATATGTATCGTCGGATGCGTCCGTCAAAAGTTGGGGGGGGGGGGAGGAATAGTATATTAATAATAATAAATATAAAAAAATAAAAGCACCATTGTTATCGTGTAAAAACGGAGATATAAATGCTAGGCTATTTAAATTTAAGCTTAGACTTAGGCCACATTTTCTACATACTGACTCAAGTATCTTATTCTTATTTTATCTAAGTTATTTGTGTAGTATGAGTATGAAGAAAGGCAGGAGAGCATGCTTCCTCAGTATGATACTTATACTTATGATATCAATACCTATAGCCTACTATTGACAATAATAGTTATAATTTATTACATTTTGGTAAAAGTGTGTAGTTAGCTGCATGGATTTAGCCAGGACTTGTCTCACCTTAAGTGCAGTGACATCACTTTGGGCAGTTTGGGGAATTTCAACACTGGACTTAGGGTGACAGGACCAACACTTTGACCTGAACTTATAACTGTCCATTTCTTCACTGAGCAGTTAATATGAATTAAACTGAAAATAAATGTTCCATTCGTTTTTATTAAAATTTAACTTACAAATTTCAAAAGAAATCCTTGTTAATACCCCAAGATGAACAGCAGAAAAAAGACATGCACATTGTTAAAAGTGCTTTCTTTTTTTATTGTAAATGGGAAAAAAAATTAGGTTCCTGCAAGATTTTCATTTCTATATTGTCACAATTTCACTGGATATTTCAACATAATTTTCTGGGTAGGGGATACCCCTCCCTGCACTTTCAAGACAAAAATTAAAATGAGAAAAAAAAACTTTATCAAATAAAAACAGAGCTAAAAATTGAAATCTTTGAATAAATGGAACTATGGCCAGTAGTTGACCCAGGGAACCTCCATGACCTGTATACAGTGGAAGACATCACCGGCCCTGCCACCAACTGCATTTTAGCCCTACAATTTTCATCAACTGAAATAGGTTGTAAATTGTAAAGAATAAAACAAGGTCATTGACATTATTGACTCCTCAACTCACTTGAATGTAAATGTATGAAAGCCACTAAAGAAGAGCTAACAAAATTGCAAAGACAGTAGGAGTAGGCCTTACTAGAAAATCAATAGCTTAGCCTAAACTTAGGGGCCGTCCATAAAGTATGTCGCATCATTTTTTTTATCCCCTTCCTTGCTCTTCCTGTCACAAGATCTGAACCCCCACCCCTAAAGTATGTCACACTTTTGGGCTAAAAAACTAAAAATATTTTTTTTTAATTAACAAATAATTAAATTAACTAATTAACAAATAATGTTAAACACACTTACTATTAAATTTATAAAAGTAAAATCTTCTTTCAGAATGTCAAAAGCCTTCAATAGCATTACGATTTTATTAATGAATAAGCCTACACATTTGAATTTGTAGTTGTACCTTCTTTTATTTAGTCTTATACACTTTATACACTCATTCTGTTTGGGGAGAACTGGGGTTAATGCATATCAGGGATTACAATCTTTGGCTCAGGTGGAGTATCAAGTTATTAGTACCAATGTAAGTCCAGAGTTACAAACCAGAAAGTTAATTAGATTATAAATGCAAATTTCTCAAACAAGTCTATTTCAAAAGATTTTTCTTTTCAGGGGACTATTTACTTTGTTTTAGGGTCTGTGTGATCTACAATGTCAAGAAGCCAACAGATGCCATCGGTTGTGCTCAACCAATGTGACCAAATGAGTGAGGCGACTAAATTTTCTGCAGAGCAAAATAAGTATGTATATTTCCAGTCTTTGAACTATATTTCTTTAGGCTGCAAACTAAATGAATTAATTTATTTGTATTTTCTAATTTTGCTTTGACTTAATTTTTGCTCAATATATTAAACGCTAATGAATACTAGTTTTAAAAAATTGTGTTTCTTAATACCACTACTGATAACAACAGGACCTTATTTTTATAGACTACTGATTTTTCCCAAACTTCTGGTTTCAAAAATCGTTTCAGAGTAAACCTTTAAAACAATTATTTATTTTAATGTTGCAATAACAAATTTGCTAAAAGCAATTAACTAAATTGTTAAAAACCATTTTTTTAGCACTGCTTTGAAAGCTAGTGTTGGTCGAAGCAACTCAGCACCACAGTCGAAAAACAGATTCACTGGAGAGAAAATGGGCCTTTCTTCTAAACCTGCAGCTGACATGAGCCCTAAAAGACTAGTTTCAAATGGGAGTCACAACAGTTTATCTGATGGTGTTGTGCTCCATGTCGATCAAGAACAAGCTGGCACTAGTGTTGTGTCATCCCATGTAGTACCTTCCGCAACTAAATTCTACCACAAAGAAGACACACCAATGGTCAGGTCAGAGCCAAAACCTGATGACGTCTGGCAAAGACGAGAGAAATTTGGTGCTTCTGGTCGATCCCAAGAGCTTGATTCACCACAATTAATTAAAAGAAATGGAACTTTGTTTGAGAATTCTAATGCCTCTGCTGAGTCTGTGAAAGGGGCCACTACTAATTTAGAAAGTATTGAAAGTAATAAAGTAACATCTTCTCGGGAATCTTGCAATAGCACTCTTAATAATTGGGGAGATTCTGGAACACATCAAAGGTATATGTTTATGCAGTAAACTTACGCTTTACGGGTCCCCTCTTTTCATGTGTTTTTTTTTTTTAACTACTTTTTTTGACGTGGTCACCGTCTTTTTTTCCCATAACCTCTCCTGTCATGGCAACAAAGATGACAGCTGTGTAAAAAAAAAATGTTTTTGTTGCTAAAAACCTTCATACCTAATGTCTATCACTCTACCAAATCTGAAAGCTAAATGTTCTATATGCGAAAATCAGTGTCCCTAGCTCAAGCGTAAATCTCCAAACCTAAAATCAATCACTAGGTCTAGACCTAACCTGAACTCTAAAACCATGTGTTCGTGTGTTACACACTGTAGTGCGAAAATCGTAAATGTGAATTAAAATATTCAAAATAATGAAAATCAGATGAAATTTTCATCGTAATACACTTTTACACACTTTATTACAGGTTCTGCCAAAATTAAAATCCTAAAGATGTCATAAAAGTCAAAATACATTTTTTCTAAATGATCTGACAGTCACATCTGCAAAATAGCCTCATTTTAAAATATAATTAACGGCACTACAATATATTTATATTAACAATTCATCTATAAAAAAACATTCCATAGATTTCTTCATATAAAAAAAGAGAATAGTTAGCTCTAGTAACATTCTGCGACTAAACAAAGGGGAGTTCACTTATCCACAGAAACTCATGGGACTCGTAAAGCGTAAGTTAAAAGAGTATGCTAACAATTTGTAAAGTTAAGAGCCACTTGACTTTGAATTTAAATTCCAATCATATCTGGTTAAATGTTTAATAAATGAATTTGAAGTTATTGTTTTTAACTCTAAAGTGAAGCATAGAATGTATGCTCAGAACCTTTTAGTCAATCATAGGTCTTATGTAGTCTTGTTGAAACTAAAATCTTGTTGCAAATTTTCATAATAAATATTTTAAATTTTCATAAAAAGTGGTCCAGAAAATCCAGAGACTGATTGCCGAAAACACACTCAACGCTATCCATTTAGACAAGCCCATTCTGAAGTGATACTGCCCAGTGCGTCTGAGAGAAGATTGTCCTTGGCACATGTGAAGGAGAAGGGCTATGCAAGGTTGGAAGAAGAGCTTATGAAGGCCCAGAAAGTAAGTATTAAAACAACTTGAACTGACAGAATCAATTGATGGTGAATAATTATTCTTAAGTTTTAAAAAGCGTGCGTTACATCATCCATAGTTTTGATTTGCCTATTCTAGATATGACTCAATGTTAAAATCATTGAGCTTGTTTAAATAAAGCATTGCAAAAATAATGTAAGTTATGTCTTATTCATCCAAATTTATTTTTAATGTATCATGTTAAACAAAGTACAAAATAAAAAAACAGGTCATAATGTTATATTGCTATTATTTAATGTAGGGTTTTATAAAGGAAACAAAATGTTAGTGTATAAAATCATCAGGTCTCTTTAAATAATAGTTTATTTATTCCTGAAAAAATTAAATTATTAAATGCATAATATGTATGATAAAACAAAAGGATACTATCGCTTACATGGGAAACATTTGGTACTTTTTCCAATTCATTACAAAAAGCAATTCCGGTACCGGGTAATTAAAATTTTAATGGTGTCTGACATTTGTCAGCCTTAAGCTGTTAAACTTATTAATATTTTTGGGTGCAAGATGCAGTTAACCATACTAGTTTTTGTATAGTGAATGTATGGAACATTGTCACTTTGATTGATTGTTTCCAATACTTGGAAATTTATTTGTCTTTATTTTAAATAGGCTATTCTTCATTTTACTGTATTTTATTAATTTTCAATTTTCCACAATTTCTGAATTTCAACACACAAAAAATTCCAATTTAAATATGTTGTTTTCATTTGATACACATTTCTTTTTTTTAAGGCACTGGAAATGAAGGATGAAGAAGTGGGTGAACTGAGGGGTATCAGAGAGAGGTTAATGAAGGAAGTCAGCGATTTTACAGCTGCATTGTTTGAGGTAATAAAAATCAAATTTATACAACATATGCTTAAATTTAAGTTAATGAAAATAGTTTCCACATTACTAGCCAAAAAATCAGTTTAAAAATCTAAAATTTAGTCCATCAATTTCTTTATGCAGCTTTTAATATACATAATGATAAAATGTATTCATATAGAGTAATAATGTTATTCCGCAGGAAGTAAATTCCCAACTGAACTCAGCAGCTCTCAGTGAACAGCAAGCCAAAAAACAATTACAAGAAGCTAACACAAAGGTAATTCAAAATAAGGATATTGGCATTATATTATATGAAGCTTTTTTTTTTCCTCCACCTCGATCAAAATCCAATTAATTCTCCCTTTCTTCTACACTAGAATATGTTCTATTTAATATGCCTATAGTGTAGAATTATTATTTTTTTATACTAGTTTAATGCATGTTGTGAACAATATGTACATATGTTCATTATGCAGTAGAGGGTTGATTTTCCAAACGCTGATTATCCAAAACACCAGTTATCTGAACGAGCCTGTATTCTGTAATAATATTAATACAGTATGCAATTTGCATGGTATAGAGCAGTGTTTCCCAAATTTTCAAGTCTAACATACTGGTGGACAAGTTTCAAAATTGCATCAGGGACTGGTAGCAAATTTATTTATTATATATTCTTTTTATTTGACCATAAATATTAATGTTGTGCGCACCGGTAATGTAAGGCTCACAGACTAGTGCCAGTCTGCAGACCACCATTTGGGAAAGGCTGGTATAGAGCATTGGCAAGAAAAAATTTCAAACCCCTGTGCCATCATCCAGGTAAAATAATTATTATATGTTGTTTTTTATTACATGCCGTAACTATTTAACAACGCAGCTGTTCCATTGGAGTTTTCAGTTCTTAAATCACCCCTGTTCCCAAATAGTTGGGAAAATCAATGATCTATTGTACATTTTTGATATGTTATCTTATCTTTTCTTTTACTTTGTTTTTAAAATTAATCATAAAATGAAATAAATGTTGTTGTTTTTTGTTCTTTATAAGTGACATATCATTTCAATTTTTTTTAGATTGATGTATTAATTGCTGAAGTTGCAGCACTGAAAGATCTGGTCCTCACATCCACCCCAAGCAGCCCCAACAAGCACCTTCATCCTCAGATAGATTCTCCAAAGAAAGAAAAAGGTGGTAAGCCGTTCTGGAAAACCCACAGGCGATCCACTAGTCATCACCAGTTCACAAAGGAGTCGAGGGAAAAGGCAGAGGCAACACAGCACCATTCACAGCTTAAGGAGGTCAGAAAGTCTTTAACAGAAAAATAATTAAACTTATTTAAACATACTTAACATTAAAATATCTTGGTGAAAAAATTTTAAGACTATTTTATTTATTGTGAAAAGGCAGTAAAAATATTCTCTTGCTTTTAGATCTTGATATTTGATAGTTTTAAAAAATAATAATATTAAATATGCTTATATATAATTCTAAACAAATATTATTTGGTAAAAAAATGAGGTATGTTTAAAGTTTTAAAGTAAGATTTTAACAAATAAATAATAAATGTCATTTTTATGCTTTCAAAAATCATTTCCTAAATTTATATAATCTAAAAAGATTATAGTTTATATACGCATAAATTTTTCTTCAAGCAATATTTGTTACAAAAAGGAAAAGAAATGTCAAAAGCTTATTTTATTTAAACAGATGGACACAGTGGCATTTGATGAATTTTCAAGATGGCGTCTTCAGCCAACAATGGAGTTCACCGGACAGTTTTTTACTAGAGTTCAACAAGAAGATATTCATCCTTGTTTAAATTTCAAGAATACACGAGTAATCTCTCAATTTAAAAAAAAAATAATAAAAATAAAAAATGAACACTTAGTATTAAAATGTTTGAGAAAAAATATCTTTGACAGAAATAGACATTAATTACAATCCAAGCTGCTGGAAACAAAATGAGGAATTAAAACTTAATAATCATTATGTTGAACAGAATTTATTTATTTTTAATTATAAATTTAATTCATGATTGACAGTAATTTTTATTCAAAATATTTTTACATCAAAAAAACTTTTGCAGTTGGCAGACAGAATTCTTCAAAGTGTTAAAAACAACACCTTATCTATTGAGCCAATTCCAGGGGATCATTCATTTCCAAGGTGAGGTTATTTGTTACCTTACCTAGTTGTTTTAAAGTTTTACATGTCTCTATTACCTTTTTGGCACTGAAAAAGTAATAATTTTTTATATACTAATGTTACAGTTTTGTTTTTTAAAATTACAATTGGAGGAAAAGTTATCAATATGAAATAATAGCTAATCAAAGTTTTAAATATGAATATTTCAATAAAGCTTTTTTTAATTTCTTCATGATTCTGTTGATTTCTTGTAATTTCAACATTTGTTTAATTATAATTAAAATTAATTTAAAAAAAAAATAATTATAATTAAAATTGTAACATCTTGCAGGAAATGCTGTCTTTCTGATACTCATAAATTATGTAATTATAAAATCAAGTTTGAGGGAGATGAGGAATGGTATTCCATATCCCAGATGTCCAGAAACAGGGTATGTTAAGAATTAATTTTTTTGGAGAAGAGTCTTTATTATTTCCTCATACATATCTCATATACAGTTTGGGAAATGAAAATGTATGTGCCCTTTTCTCATTGATGTAGCTAAATCATAAAAATAGTCATCAACTGTCAATGCCTAATTCAACCCACTGCTGGAGGTGGCAGAAGTATATATTTTTTTTAAAATCAGAGGCAAGTGGAATGAAAATCCTATTCATTAATATAAAAGAGATGTTTATTGTTAAAATAAGTCATGCATCAATTGGTTCTGGTGGCTGTGTACATTTCCATTGACTGGAGTTAATTAAATGTACTATCTCTTTTTTTACCAGATAGCAGTTGTTTGTGATTTCTTCTCCTATCTTCGCTACATCGTGCAGGGCCTTGTTAAGTGCTCAGGTAGGTTAACCCTTGCTTTCAGTGAAAGAGTAATGGAGATATTTAAATTTCAGCTTTTTTTTTTCTATATTTAGATAATGATTATTTTTTTTATAGATTTATTATAAAGCTAGAGAATAAATAAAATGTTGTTTTGTCTTCAGGAGATTTGATTGACTGATAACTAATTTTATAAATTGATTATACCACTCCAATATACAATGGCATTTTCTCCATTTCTAATTTTATAATGTGGCTAAAATAATCTCCGAAGTATTATCAATGTAGAACATAGCTATTTGCTTTTGCTATAAAATCTAAATACTTAACCTTAAGTAATATTAAATAATGAAAAAATGAGAAAGAATGGTTTTGCAATGTCCTAAGAACAATTTATGCTCTTGAATTTTAAATTTGATGAGTAATGATTTTCAGCATTAAGTTGAAAAATCTTTTTTTCCATTCCAGATAAAGACATGTACGCAGAACTTGTGAGGCTCCGAGGTCAGATGGCATTGGCCAGACTGGGACTTATATAGGCCTTATCTAAACTAGTCAGTATCACAAACTGTTACCGAAACTGATCACTGACCAAATATGTACTTACAGATTGATATTACAATGTTGCTAATCTGAACATGGTCTCAGGCAATAAATGAAACTGATATATGCACAAATAATTTCTGTTGTTACAGTTTGTATGTCAAGAAGTTATATATAAGTATATGTAAGTATGCATAAAGTTGTTGGTTGGTATAATTTTTATATCAAGAAGAAACAAGTTTGCATGAATTTGTTGGTATTTTTCTAATGCATATAACTTTTCACATGTAATTAGGTAGTTAGGTCCATATCAACCTGTAAAGTTCAACAATTGTTTAACTTGATTTTAAAATTAGCTGATGAGGTGTATTAAATAAGTGTTGCAGTGTGCATGAAATGTTTTAAAGACATACTTAGTGATATTGGTATGGTAGCCATTAACATTTTTTTATTATAAGAAAATGGATACTTAACTGCAAAAATTTGACAATTTTCCACTATTAAGGTCCCAAATGAACTCTCCATTATTAAAGTCCCAAATGAACTCTCCATGCTTAAGTTAAAACCCACATGTTAACATTTTTTCAAATTTCCTTTTAATCCTAATTAAAAAATTCATGGTTTCATAGTAAAGAACTAAGATTATTGTTTTGTTTTTTTTTCTTCAATTTTAGCCCTCTACATAAGACAGCATATAGTAGATGTATTTAATCCATCATTTGTCTGCTTAAATCTTAGTTAATGAAATTAGTTTCCACATTGCTAGACAAAAAGACATTTTCTCATTTAGTTGGATCCTTAGAGAAACTTTTACCAGTTGGTATTAGAAAGTGGATTTTGTCTGAATCACCATATCAGGATTAAATTCACTTCAATTCTAAAATGCAACTGATTCATTTATGAAAAATTCTACATAATTAGTCAGAGTTGGTATAGTATTATGGCATGTTTTCCCCTGAATAAGAGAAATTTAATTTATTAACTGCTCACTTTCCTTAAAAGTACAAAATGAATGCCTATGCCAATTAAGTGATGCTTCAGTAACATGAATGATGCACTACAGTTGTTTGGAAACAAAATGAATGAGTGATGTAATTTTATAAATATTTATGTACACAGTTCTAATGGATTTGGAAATGATGATATTAGTATTATTAAATATATATTTTATATAAACTTTACTTTTTATATGTTTTTAATATTATGTAAGGGATTGTGTTTATTTCTGCATCTCTACAAATGTTTTAATGTATAGCTAAACAGGTGAAGATTTGTTGTTGTTTTTTTTAAATTTCAGAAATTGTTTATGTTAATAGTTGCCTCCAGTATTAAAAGGAAAAAATGTATAATTAAATCTTCAGTATCTTATCTTAACATTAGAATATGTGGGTATCTTAGATTAAAATAGTTTTTTTTTTGCATAATTAAAAATATGCTCCAATTTTTATCTATTTAATAAAATGCAGTTACTTAAAATCTAGAATAAGTATTCATGTTTTCAACAACATGAGGAATTGAGTGTTAATGGGGGTTTTAAATCTATTTGAAATGGCCAGTAGCCAGGAATGAAAATCATTAATTGTATGAAAAATATCAGTAATATCACTGATGAGAGTGTGTTGCTATATTTCAGGTTCTGCCATTAGTCATGTTTAGAATAATAATGATCTTTTCATGTCTTCAGATTGTTCCATACACAAAACAAAGTTCAGTCCTCTAGCTGTTTAGTCTTATACAGTGGTTCTATTGTTTGTTCTGTTAAATTATAGATGCAAACAAATATATTGCAGGATAATCATAATGTCATTAACATTTGTCATTTATTTTTGTATGCGATAAAAAATATTCAACGTTATGGAGTAAAGATATCTTTGTGAATTTGTAATTATTTTTTTTTTACTTCCATTTTAGTCAAGGATTGTAATGTATTTAACCTAAAAACAGTTTGTTTGTGTTAAATGAATGTCATGTATCTTTTTGGAGTGGGGTTTTCTATATTCATAACATAAGCATATCTCCATGTACTCAGCTATTTTAGTGTTTATTATGCACTAAACAACCAACACTTTTATTTAAACTAAGGTTTTGAAGTTGTTGCTTCTTTTTTAAATTGTAACTATTGCATCTATTGGTCATTAAATTAGAGAATAATTTTTTTTAATTGCAAAAAAAATAAGGTAATAGATGCTTTTCTACTCTAAATGGAAATGTTTCAAATTGACTTAATGTATACATGTACATTTATAAAAAGAACAAAAAAAATTATACATTATTCTGACTATATTCTCAATCATTAACTTTTATTCATTCATAACACTTGTAAACACATTTTGTATAAAAATTTTCTATTTCGATTATAAAACATTTTAAAAAAGCTATTTAAAGATTCTAAGCAAAACACCACTTGTGTAAGATGTTTACAAAATTGAGCCTAGATAAGCATTTTGTGAAGTGTGCTTTTAATACCTATAGGAGTCCCTTTTGCTGGCCATAATTAGGAGGTGCATTTGAAATTTTTTGTTCCTACTATATAGGGAACAGCATTTGTTTAAATGTATATATTGGCAGCATACTGATCAAAAGGAATTTTTTTGTATTTGCTAAAATACCTGAAGCCTCATTTGTGGCGCATTTAAAAAAAACAACTTGAAAATCTGGCCTAGCAAGTTCTAAATGAGCATGTAATCAAACAATTGGTGTCAATTTTAATGTATCACTTTTGAAAATATTTTTAATGTATCTGTTTTATTTAAGAGTCAGAAGAAAACAATATATTTTTTCTAATCACTCCTTCATTTTCTCTCCTTGAGAGTTGTCTTTCACTTTTTAAAAGATGTGAGTGGCATTGCAATGGTTTAATCAAGGAAAGCCTCATAATATGAATGCATATATTTGTTTAGAAATAAGCTATAACAAAATTAGTACATTTTGGGAGAAGAACTTCTTGATGAATTGTAAATATCTCAACCTATTGAATTTGAAGTTTTGAGAAATGCATGTTTTTTTCATTAGAAATTAGGTGGTCTTTGATGTGAACTTCAGAATTTTGTCACTTAATACAGTTAAATTCAAATAATTATTTTTGCAAATGATTTATTTCATGCTTTGGTTTATGTGACACTAAATTCACTTCTTTGGAAGCTTATCATTTGCGTTATTAGTACATGATCTTTTTTTAATAACCTTTTTTAGTCTCATAATTTTTTAAAGCCGATAGATAATTATAATTTTATTTAGTTTCTATTAGAAACCAGGGCATAGTGATACTAATGCTTTTTGATGATGCTACCAAATGTGCTCTACTTTATAATATGCTCATGCATAAACACACTAAAAAACAACAACTCAGAATCAGCCTCAACAGAATGCATGGAAATGATTCATTAATCATGCCTGGCTGCATATTTTAGAAGGAAGACCTGCTGTGGCAGACATAATGAAGGCTTGAAATGAATTTATATTAAGATCCTGACAAATAAGCACAATATACATATATTTATTTATTTATGTATATATATTTATATATATATTTATGTATATATATTTATATATATATATATTTATTTATATATATATATATATATATATTTATATATTTATATATATATATTTATATATTTATATATATATATATTTATATATATATTTATATATATATATATATTTATATATATATTTATATATATATATATATTTATATATATTTATATTTATATATATATATATATATATATTGCTGGTCATTTTAACACAATCAGGTAGGAAGACGCAATCATAATAAGAGTTAATCTCACATTGAACAGCTCAAAGAGCTGCTCGGGAAAAAAAAAACATCTTTAAGCAAAGAAAAATAATGTTGAAATTATCTTATGCAAATGTTCAACTGTAGATACAAATATTTAGTGAGAAAAGAAATTGTGAACCTGTATTTTTGTACATCATCTTTTATGATTCAAGGCTGCTTTGTACTTAAAAAATGTTGAATTCCTCATACAAAATTGACACGGTTTTGCTCTGATTAACTCAAAATATAAATGTATAGAAGACCCACGTATTTTATTTCTAATAATATTATTATGCAAATCGGAAAGTCATTTACAAAAGGACTTCAATGATCTGAGATTCCAACATAATTTCCACTGGATTCATCTCTCATTGTCGGCTAACTTCATCATATGATTATACGCTAAAATGTGGCTAGGACACCTGTATTACATTTACTTGCTGTCAGTAATGGCTAGACATGCAAGCATTCCATGTCTCACCACCTTAAATGTAAATACTATATTCTGATATATTACAAGTTCACTTTATGCAAGTCGAGTAAATTATTTTGATAATAAACCTAACTGGGACCAAGTTGACTTTATCAGTGCTGTTCTTAATCTGTTAACACCAGTATCTGTCTTATCATATTGACCCTGTCTTCTATCATAATCATTAGCAATATAATATAATCAGGAATATGTGATCACAATGTTTGGATATTTCATATTATTTATTTTACATAAATTCATTAAATTAAAAAAATCTCTAATTTGATCCATGCCATAATTGCATCAGGGCAGTGATAATTTAAAATTCACCAAATCACTTATAAAGAGAAATTGCACTCTAAAATCATTAATTAATTCACCTTTGTTGTTAAATTTCACCAAAGTCCTTATTTTGATTACAAGCTGTCTGTTCTCTGTCACAACTTTTTCTCTGATTCCTACCCTTCCTATCTAACTGAACTTCTTTCTGTCTATTCACTCCTTCGATAGCTTTTCTCTACCATAGACACGCGTATTCTGTCCGTTCCCAAGACAAGCTCTAAAACATGGTGAACAATCTTTCTCTTTATGCGCCCCCAAAAATGGAATTCTCTCCCACTACACATCCGCAATACCGTATACCGACAACCCAGGCCTTCAAAACTGCATCTCAACTTTAAAACACATCTCTAAACTCTACTACCCCGACTGATTCCCCCCCCCCCACCCCCCCTCCTTTTCTGACCGATAAACGATGCTGCTGGCTGCCGTCCATGGCTTGACATGTAAAAGTTCTGGGGTGAAATATACATTTGTTTTGTTGTTATATGGCTGCTTTTTATTAAATAAATGTATTTTATTTCTTTAATGTCATGATTATGTTTGCTAATATTTGTATGTACAGCGCGATGAGCCCAGCTCTAGCTCTCTTAAAGTTAGGACCAAAATATATAAAAATCCTTTCGTTCCCCAGTCTGTACGAATTTACCAGCGTGCTCCCCACAATTTGTTCATTGTTTAAAGAAACAACTTAGTTAATAAACTCATTACCTAATCCCTGGCTTTTTCCGTGCCAAAATTTTGAGGACAATTCTTCAAAGGGGCGCCAAGCCGGGCCGGCTCAAAGGGGGTATGATGCGTGATGATCACACATGCGCCAAAATTTATTAAAATCAACACACAAAAAAAAAATAAAAAATTCTGAACTCTTCCCATAATTTTGCAGAGGGCGACAATTGCCTCTTTTCACCCAACCTAAAAAATGTCTAACGCCAGGTGGCGCCAAAGTTAAACTTCCCGGGGCGCCAGCAACCTGGTTACACGGCCAGATTAGCTCCTTCTTATAATAAAAAATTTGTTTTTAATTAATAAAGATAAAAGATGCAAATACTGTCCCTATTTTTCTGCGGACCACCCAAATTTTCTCACGGACCGGACCCCTGGTGGTCCGCGGACCACCAGTTAGTGACCGGCGCTGCTGCAAAGCACATTATTATTATTTTGTTTCACTTGGGGGTCGTTCGAAAATTACATCACGCCAAAAATCACCTTTTCAGACTCCCCTCCCCCTGGCACAATTACAAATTATTTACCCCCCCCCCCAACTCAGTGGCACGTCACACCTAAACAAATTAAAACATACATACAATTTTGATAACTAAACTAAGATTTTATTTTATTCTTTAAAATTTCCCAAAATGGATTAAGATGTAGTATTATTAGAAAGCTGTGACTTAAAACGAAAAACAACGAAGCCCCCCCCCCCCC